CTGGGCCGCCTCGCGTCAGCCATACTCGATTCTTATTGGTCACTGTTTTTCGTTCATAACTCGTTAACGGTGCCTCGGAGAACATTTTTGTAAAGGAAGAAGTTGCTTCGAATGATCCGAGGAACCCGCCATTTCCGGATTGCGAGACATTTTTGGGACATCATGTAGACTGTTGTAAATCGATGTGAAGACAAAAGAAGTGTGAAACAATGCATATGAAGACGATTATTTGATTCAAACGATGAGCGAGTGAGCTACTAGAGCAAGCCACTATAGTGGCGCGTCGGGCCTAAAAGGTTAAATAGCAAAACGTTATAACCAGATTGCGGATCTTTAAGCAAAATAAAAATTGTTTAAATTAATTGTAAGAAACATAAATTAGTTATAATAATTATGACAAATATATATTAAATATACATAATTATTATATGTATATTTGCCATAATTATTATATTCATTAAACATATATTATATAAAAATTCTTCTAATAACCTTACAATTTGATATTTGACCGATTCATTTCTCTCATAAACGCATAAAATCCGCGATCTAATTATAATTGTTTATCAGAACGAAACCAGAGAATCCTATCTCTAAAGCCACTAAGTCTTTTTTATTATTTTGTTATTTCGAGCAATTTTAATGTCTGCAGAAATTAGTTCGGTGCTTGTTTAAACCTTCGAACGTTTCAAAACGATTCACGGCATTCGGTCGAATGTATCAAAATTTATTCCGTGTTTAAAACGTGTCCGAATATTTTCGGCTGTAGATACCGTCTCTGTAATGTTTCAAACAAATGACAAAAAGTAAAACAGCTTCGTGCCTGCATTGTAACGAACGACATCCATATGCATGAGACAGATAATTTGCTGACACTTTGCAAAGCGTGGCTGACGTGCAGCGTTAAAGAACGGCGTACCAAGAGCAGATATTCTTTTAAAGAAAGGAGGTTTCCTCGAAAAATGTGCACGGTACCCGAGGCTCGCGTACAACGACGCTTTTTGAGATCCTTTAAGAAGCGTTCTTTAAGCGAGACGGATGCGTTCCAAGATTATTCAACCGGTGCTCCCGCGACGACCGAAACGCGGAACGTTGCTGCTGCACGACGATCGCCCGGTAAAAGTAGAGAAATGGGAACCTACCTTAAGGGTATCCTGCAGGTTTTGTACTCTACAGTGCATATACACATCGGCACCGAGCTGCACGGTAATGTTGTTCTCCGAATCTTCGAAAAAGGGCCTGGGCTCCGGTGTGCCACCGGTTTCCGTCGCGATGCTTTCCACCTCGTATACCTGTCGACATGATCAATTAGGTGACTACCGCAGATTATATTATTGGCTTATTAATGCACGTTATTATCTCTGCGGATTTCGTATGCGAAATAAAAACTGTCTGATCTAATTAGAAGAAACAAGATGTGCACGTCAGGAAGACTTTCTTCGATTCTCTTCCAACGTCTTCACAGTTTTGTACTCAACTTGCAATTAGTTATTGTAACAATGCACAAAATCCGCGGTCTAGTTATTTACACCTATTAATTATATTAACATAATAATATAACGTAATATAATAATAATAAAAAATGCGTAAAAATATGTAGGGCTTAATTATTTCGTTTCTTTATGTGCTGTTTAAGGTTATTTTCAATTGTGATGCTTCGGAATTGTATGTATGTGTAAAGAAGATGTTCAATTATAATCTTTTGTTTTAGTATTCTTTTACCGAAGAAAACAATTCGTATCCTTCTCCGAGCTTTTCTGACACTCGATAATAGGAAAACGTATAAAAATGTACGAACATCTGCAGTCGAAACTGGAAGACGATGTTCCTGAATTTATGACAGAAGGTACAAATATTTCGCATCGCAGATGTTACATAAACGTTTACGGCACTTTGTCAGCCATCAAGCGAGAAGTAGAAACAGACGACGGAAAAGAGAGAGAGGGGGAGAGAGGGAGAGAGAAAGAAAAGGGAAAAATGAAAAGACAGGAAGGGAAATGAAGAGAGAGAGATAACAGTTTTGTACAGCGTGCAGAGTGGAAACGGTGCAAAAGGTATGGGCCGTAGCTTTTTCAAAAGACATTTTAACTCCTTGTTCCAATTATGCAGCCGACTTACCTCGGTAAAAGGCGAACTGAGCTCATGCCAGAACGACCTCGGCAGGTTTTCCAGTCCAGGAAACGGCTTAGCACCTGAAACAATTTAGAACCAGATTATACCATTCCTTGCCGAGGCTTTATCACTCGTATACAATAGCGTAATTAAACCTTGACCGCGAATTTACTGGCAACCTTGTTACAACCAACGAATATATTGGGTTGGCAACTAAGTGATCGCGGATTTTGTCGATTGATGGACTTTACACTTTCTTTTCTTTTGCTAACGCAGTCGAAGCATCCAACCTATAATTTTTCCTTATTGTTTGGACTTCTGCCTTTAATTTAGTAAAAATATTATATCGATTAGTGCTTTAGTTTTCTTTTTATCCCAATTAAAAATGGAAGAACAGGACGTGCACTTCGGACATATTTTATTGTGTTACTTCCGAAATGGCAAGAACGCATCGCAGGTACAAAAGAAGCTATGTGCGGTATATGGAAATGAAGCCTTGAAAGAAAGGCAGCGTGAAAATTGCTTTGCCAGATTTCGTTCTGCTGATTTTTCACTGTGAAAATGCTCAACGATGTGGCCGTCCAGTTGAAGTCGATGAGATCCGTATCAAAGCCATTATCGATTCAAATCGTCATAGCACAACACGTGATATTGCGCAGAAGCTCAATTTTATCGCACACATGCATTGGAAAATAATTAAGAATACTTGGTTATGTTAAGAAACTCGATTTATGGATCCCTCGCCAGCTCAAGGAAATTCATTTGACTGCGATTCGCTTCTGAAACGCGACGGAACTGATCCATTTCTGAGAAGCCTAATTACTGGCGACGAAAAGTGGATAGTTTATAACAACGTTAATCGGAAGATGAACAAGCCCGAACGACGTCAAAAGCAGAGATTCACCAAAAAAAGAGATTATGCTGACAGTCTGATGGGATTATAAAGGAATTTTGTACTTATGCCACAAAACCAAACGATCAATTCAAACGTGTACGTTCAACGACTCGCCAAACTGAGCGATGCAATTGAAGAAAAGCGGCCGGTATTGTCGAATCGTGAGGGTGTTGTTTTCCACCATGATAATGCAAAGCCTTTGGCCACTCGCCAAAAATTATTGGAACTGGATTGGGATGTTTTGTCACATCCAGCATATAGCCCTGATCTTGCGCCTTCAGACTACCATTTGCTTCGTTCCATGCAGAACTCCTTAAATGGTAAAATTTTTAATAACGCTGATCATGTCAGATCACATTTAATTCGGTTCTTTGATAGCAAAGATCAGAAATTTTTCGAACGTGGAATTTTGACACTGCCAGAACGATGGCAAAAGGTCATCGACAAGAACGGTCAGTATCTAACTGAACGAAGTTATATTTTTAAAGAAAAATTTTGAATTTTCCTTCTTATTTGAAATCCGCGATCACTTAGTTGCCAACCCAATAGAACGGTATCAGAAAAGTTCGAAAGTTTCGTTTACCGTTTCTGCTGCGAGCACACCAAACTGCAGGGCAAAGAATTTACGATCCGTATCGATCCGATACACGCACACGCAATCGCGGGAAACATTTTCGAAAGTCTATTAATGTTTCATACGTTCGTTACATCGATTATTAGTCTTTTGAGAAATTCTTCGCATAGACCACCCCGTCGGCCAAAGACACCCAACTATGGAATTTCAACTTTTTTACGTAGCATTATATTGGTTTCCGATATATTGTAAAATCGGTTTTCTATTCCGACATTAACTTTCGTTCAATGTTCCTTCGTAGTATCGTTTTAGGAGCTGCAGCAATTGTTGCTAAGAAACTTATTCTATTCTGTATTATATGTTAATGTGTCAATATAATATTATTAATGTTTATATGATATATGTGCCCATAATTATGAAAGTGGTCTAAGTCAAAATATAAAAAAAAATGAATTTATCACTTATTTCACACGACATGATTTTAAACTAAATTTATTCAATGTCATTTTTACGATATCGTCAAAAATGAACCTTTAGATAGTAGTTGTAATTACAACGTTATACGGAATTCACTTAGTGTTAATTATGAAAGTGGTCTAAGTCAACATTACTATGAATTGATCGAAAATTGTAGAAAAAGAAATACATTTTCGATCAAACGAATGTCGCAGCCGGATTTTATTTCAACGAAATCACTTGAAAAATCAATAACAAGGAGAGTAAAAAATACCGCGGGCGAATCTGTCTCTTGGCTAAAAATTCAATGGATGAGATTCTTGAAAAATGAACCTTATAAAATGTTTTATAAGACTTCTTTAGATGATTCTGAATTCCAAGTTTTGGATCTTTCACCTAAAAGAGGAAGACCAAAAATATACGAAAATATTCAATTACTTCCATTATACAACACCACTAGACCAGTAACGGAAGAAAAACATAAAGATCTTATGTGTTTACTACCATACATCCCTCCAGTTTTTCAGGAACATTTTAAAAATCTTAAAAACTCGAAATTATGATAAAAATGGATTACTTTTTAAAAATGATTAATAAATGTTTATGAATTATTTCGTTAAAGTTGTTGTTTCAAATGGACCGTTTATTTTGAAAGTGGTATAAGTTCTTTTTTTTAAAGAAATTCAAAATGCCGAATCTGAGCTTGTATTGTCTAAATACCCCACGCAACGCCACTTACAATTTCTTTCGATGACATTGTACTTACACCACTTTCAAAATAAACGGCTGAAATAAAAATCACAATTTTTTCTTACTTTAAATCAATTATAGGACATTCAGTTAATTTTGAACATGGTCTAAGTCAATTCAAGCTTTAAAAACAACATTTTCCTATGAAATTCACACAAAATTTCATATCTATAATAAATTTCCATTAATCAAGACTAATAAAATTATAAATTAAAATGTCGCATAATGTAAAAATATTTTTTAATTTATTCAAATGCGATTCATTAAATATCTCGAAACAAGAAATATATGACTTAGACCACTTTCATAATTATGGGCACATATAATATAATATAATAATAAAAATAACATGTGAAATATAATATTATACGTTCAAAAGCTGTATCACTAATTAGTAGAAACACTGACACACCGCGGATTTCGTGCGTTTATGTGGTAAAATTCAGTAATTATAGTATAAAATAATATAAAAATGTAAAACATTTTAAGACGCCAATGCATTGTTTTTAATCTATTAAAATGATTAAATATTATAGAGAGGAATTTTTCTACCAAGGAGGAATGAAATTGCTACTCGATTTATATACTTTTCAATCAATGCAGACAATTTTTAATTTGCATATAATAAAAATCCGCGGTCTGTTAATTTGTATGTGAACTATGCAATTTATTCATAGTGTACTCGAGTTACGAAGACATCTGAATATTTAAAGTGCGCGCAATAATTAATCATTCTCTAAGAGAAACGAACGAATCTAGTTCACAATAACTTCTTTCGATTTCCGAATTGTTTGTAGACAATATTACGCGAACAATGAACAAATAAATTATCGTATCGACATATGATATCGAAATTAAATTATATCCCAAATTATATCCGAGATTCCAATTGCTAAATT